GTTGCAAGTGCTCCTTTGCCTGATGTATTTGGACTTTAAGGGATACGGTTTTCTCCTTATCCCAGGAGAGCTTAGTTATTTTATTCCTGACCTTAAGTACGTTATTTTATACATAACATGGAAGGTATATTGAACAGGAAGACCTTGACATCAAAGAGGTTTCAGTACCATGTGATATAGTAATGTCTGGAAGAATCTCTGTCGAATGTTAAGGTCTGGTCAGCAGTTTAGAAGTTGCATCAGAAGTTTACTGGTGGCCAGTTGTGGAGCGCTAAAAATGACGAGAGAGAAACATTCATCCAGTCGCTGTTCATAGAATATTTCTTGGCAGATAAGCAGAGAGAGTGCATGTTCAGTGAACTTTTTTTCACGAATCTACGGAAGACTCGACCTTTACTAATAACAGTTGTACAGAAGAAAAACGGAGAGGAAGGCTTTTAGCATCAGATTGCCCATCATCCTTGTACAATTATGTTGAGTCTTTTTCTGGCGCCCTTCTATCCATGAATTTAGTGGAGAGGCTCTAATCTCCATCTCCATACAGTCAGTCAGGGGTAACTTACTGTTTTAAAATACAGAGTCATCAGCATCTCAGCGGAAGGCGTGATCTCCTGTTTCCTTCCCACTTAACGATACTCATCAATCTTGGAAGGAATACAGGTGAGAGACTCGGCCGAAGGTGGAACTCGGAACCTCTCAGTTCTGTGTTCGACGCTCTATCGACTGAGGAATTCTGAGATGGTTAGATCTAGAACTCTTGTCAATAAATAAGAAGGCTATTTGTAACTGTTCTTGTCATATATCTTAGTCGTGGAACATATTCTACGGTTTAAAACCAGCAACGCATCGTATACTTATTTTCATCAGAATTGGTAAATATGTCGATCTACTCCTATGAACGCAGTGTGAATGTCGACTGCTGAAGTTAGGCAATCTCGGACTTTCATCTCTGATTCATGTTTACCAATCATTCGAGACTTTCCGTCTTCCTTCCCTCATCCCTTTCTTACTTTTTGGTATCTGATCCGCTTCATCTGTCTTTCGTATTCTTGTCTCCTTGGCTTCTCGCTTTCAGTTTTATTTTTCAGAGGTGAATTTGTCAGCGATAAACGGTGACGAAATATTGCTCTTGTTTCTGGACCCGTCTGGTCAACATCTGATCGCAACCTTGTCGTCCGGCGACACGTTTTATTTACACTGGACAATGAAGAAGCCAAAATTGTTGACAAGACTTAAGGTACTTTCTCGAAGCACTAGACTTGTGTGCGTGTTGTGTACTAGCGCAATTCGTCTACAGATATTACGTGCATAATTTTGTTAAACCGAAAACGAGGTACCGATAGCGGTAATTTTGTGTTCCAACATTTGACGGTGTTGGTCAGCATCCTTGCGCTATGCATGTCAGCATCCGTCCGATTTTCTTTGAAAGTTTTGCTTATCTTCCATTCCCTAGCTTGTCTGGATTATTTTTTTAGCGTAGGCCTGGAGTTTTCATCCTGTCCGAAGTTGTCGTGATTCTTTGTGTGATAATTGATGTGAACCGTGACTATTTCGTTTCTTCACCCTAGTCTGCGACTGACGTATATTTCTTCTGTAGGAAGTTACCTTATAAAGCTTAGCGGAATCTTTAGATTTCAGTTGTCATCGCTTTTTTAGCCGAGCACTTTGGGGTCAATGAAAGACCTTCTCGGGTAACAACTTTTAAGGGCACACTATGCTTTTCAATTTATTTTGCCATTATCAGTCATGAGTTTCCGTTTTTTATCTATACGATCTTCTCTGTTCCTCGTCTTTTATAACGATAACGCTGAAGTTGATTGTAGAGAGTATGGTAGATGATTGCTCACAATTTACTCAAAACATTGACCATAACTGCTAGATTGAGCTGGTTGCGCTTATAGAATAACGTGACGGATCTGTCTGGACCACTTCCTGATTCTCAAGCGTGTTTCTTATTCTCAAGCTGAATTTTCAAAATACAGAGCTCGACTGCTCAGTAACCATGCCTGATGATTAAATAGCGTTGCAGAATCAGTTTTTCTACAGCGCAGTAATAGATATCTTCATTATCTCTTTTCTTTAGAGAAAAGACCGGACAGAAAATACAGCTGAAATGGCTGTCTCTGAAATGTTCTTCAGAGTGATTCCCTCTGAATTAAAATCTCATAACATAAGTCTTGAGCTTCATTGCCATAAACTGGTTTCATTTAGACTAAAAGTTTTACTATTTAATTAATCACTGAATCAAAATTTCTGCAATACATTAGTTGTGTTCTTTTCCAAACCGTAGACTTTTTAGGACCAGATTTTGACCAGTGTTGCTTTCATTCCAGAAAGCAGCAAGAACGGCTCGACGGGTTGTGTACTCATGGGAACTTCTAAAGGTATTTTTTGGTATATGTTTCTCATGTCTAAGATCATGTAATATGTATTTTATATTTGAACAGATGAAAGGCCTAAATAAATAGTCATGTAGGTTTCTGGTTGTTGAAGCATTTCTAAAACAATCGATGCCTGCATTTCTTCCTGTTATGTGTGCCAGTTCGATAACTCTCGCTTTGTCGCTTTTTAAAGAAGTCTGTAACTCTCTGTCTGTCATCATGTCATTTAGCCTCTGAATTATTTATGACATCAACTCTTGCAGTACTTTGCATTTACCTTGTTTCTATGTTTTCCTCTTATTGATTTTCGTCTAGTAGTCTTTGGGCTTGAGCATGCCTTTGTTAAACCCATTGGAGTGAAAACGGTCTTGCTTCCTCTGGACTGCAGGCGCTTAAATACCACGGAGCCATGGCCTGATTAAATGGTCCCCCGACGTGACTAGGACCAAGGGGGTGGTGCAATATTGTGGTAAGATACTTATCCGTCTTACACTAACGTAATATCGGTGTAAAGTTAGAAGTGAATCTAATTTTCTTCACACTGTATGTATTCGCCATTAAACTCCGGTATCATTAATTTTAATATTATATATTGACGGCTATCGAAGGCTCCCACTGGACCAACGAACATCGAGAATATGATTTTTCGTTGGTGTTCTGTTTTCTTTTCGCTATTCTTACTCATTTAGCACCTCGACCAGGGCTCGAACCGGAAACGTCTAAGTTCTGAGCAACCCTGGTCTAAGTTTGCAGTCTTTAGTTTGAAATTTCATAGAACCACGAAGTCCAAATTATTTAAAAGCAGTCCATATGCTGTCACCTTCGCATCGGCAGGTTGCATTAATGCACTTGAAAATGAATTCGTTGTTCAAGGAAGTTAGCACTTAAGAAAAAGTTTATGCGACGGTCGAATTTGATCCGGGAACTCTGATTTTTAATGTAGAACTATTTTCGATTTCTTTTTGTTTTTACATATGGCGATAGCAGTTATTCATCTCGATCTAAATTCGAGAGCCTTCTTTTAGCGGAGCAGATCTCCAGTATATGCGACATTGCGATTCGTTTTTCGAAATACCTTATTTCGCACTGACTGAGCATGTGTTAAGCAGTCAGTATCATAACTCAGATCCTTTGGAGCTTAATATTTTTAATTTAGGGGCATTGTTCGAAGCGGAGATCTCGATTACCGGAAATATGCAAACGTTTCGCTCGGTAGGCAATTCTTATCAGTTAAACTCTGTGATTGATGTAATAATTGAATCATACGGTACCGATTCAAATGGTTTGTTTTTTACTTGATGAAACTTGATGGTCGTAATCATCGGTTAACCTGTTCAATTTTTAAATCATAAAGCGAACTAATTCTTCATCTACAATAAAAAATTCGGCATGTCGTTTGACGACGCGTTCTTTAGTAGCCAGCCAAGGCGAATCAACTATTCTTTTGCCCAGTCGATTGACAGAAGGCCCAGGGGACGGCCAAGATTAATCTGGTGCAAATATATGGAAGGAGTCTGCTCTAGAATCCAGTTGTCTTCTGCCGAATCTTTGACTCTGGCGCAGATTTGGAAGCACTGTCTGTCGCGTTTGCCTCCGCGACCTGAACGGAGTAGCGATCGTGAAACTTGAAAATGAAGACTTTAGTAGCCGTGATTAATTTTACTTTATATTTTAAACTTACAACTAGTCAGTCAGT